GGTCTTTCAATGCTAGCTGCCTTGGTTGCCCATAACGTTCATCAAGGGCTTTGATGGCTGAAGGGTTAGGAGCATAGAAAAAGGCAAGAGCTAATCGTTTACCTTGGTCTACTTTCAGATGATTGAGAAGGACATATTTAAAGTGCTCTGTCTCATGAGGGTCGAGCAGGTTAGTAAGGGCCATTCGTAACAGCCTATACTGGATTTCATCTTCTTTGGTAAGGTCTGGGAAAGAAGGACCCTCAAGCTTGCATACATGTGTTCTAGTGCTAACAGGGTGACTAGAACTAGCAGGAATGAGTCCCGAAGGTTTCCGTGCATGCAGACCATCAGATGTAGCTGGTTGCTGCTTTACAGGGGGGCGCTGCCTTGGTTCTTGAATGCAAATGAGAGGTTGAGCGGGGTCTTCATCTAGAGGAACAGCAAGTTGAACAAAGGAAATCTGGTGGGGAACCTGCAGTGGTGTGGCCAGGAAATTAAAAGGAGTCTCATCTGGTGTAGGAAAAACTGGTTTAGGCAAACCACTTGAAGGAACTACAGCATCTAATATTGATGAATTTGGTGAAGGAGGGCTGTCTGCAGGAACTGCACCAGAGGGACGGCTAACCTGTGGGGGCTGAGAGGGTGATTGACATGTTGCTCGATCAATCACTGGGAACTGCTCATGTTGCTGGGGAATGGCTTGTAAACTGCATACAGAGGATTTGCTTTATCAGATGAGACAGTGTGAATTGAAGATCTGGGGGAACTGCGAGAATGGGGAGGAGATAACTGAATCATGAATTGCCTAATCTCCCTCATCGTCATCAGGAGTTCCCTCACAACCTCATCTTGATTGGTGGGTAAAGGAGCAGGGCGTGTCTCTGGTTGGCTTTCTGACTCTCCATCAGGATCCTGCAGCCCATGTGTGTCTGTGTCACTGTGCTGGCATTCTGTTTGACTCTCTGTATCACATCCAACACTTCTACTTCTAGCTCCAGGGTACTGAACGTCATACTGCTGCAGGTAAGCAGGAGGTCGCCTCAAATCTACTGTTGATGGATGTGAATCCATGACGATAACACTGTTCCGGCTCAAAGGACCATGTTTTGGAGGAAGGTTCATAGGAGGTTGGAGATTGTTACCATCATGGCTCATGGATGAGCCACAAACAATCAGTAATCACTTGTAGGTTTCTCGTTTTATTGAATAATGAGTAAAGGAAAGACACACATGAACTGCTGTCTCTGAAAGGAAATAAAGTATGATTTAAGTAACTCGAAATACTACATGAACTCAAGAGACTCAAACAGAAACTCACCTCAGCTGCCGCCCCATGTGGGAGTGAAGAAAGAGTGAGCTGTAGGTGAGTGCAGTCCTTATATAACGGGTGAGAGGTGAGTGCAATTAAGGGCAAGCACCACACCCAATCAAAGGTGAGGAAAAGAAACAAGGTGCATCTGGTGAAGTGAATGTGCTGAAAGATGAGCCTTTACAACAATACATATTCAGTAATGCACATACACTATTATATTTGTAAATATATTTATTGTTATAATCCTCAGATTTACCCATTCTTATACTTATTTAGTTATTGATCACAATAGTTATTGTGTTGTATTTTGCTTGTGAAGCTTGTACACAAGAATTTCACTCGCATGTGCTGTACCAGTTTACCTGCACATGTGATGTGACAATAAAAGTGATTTGATTTGATTTAAATAGAACCTCAAGCATCAGGCAACAGTATTTAAAAAACACAAACTTCACACTGACGCTGATCCTGAGCTCCAACAATGTAAAACAAGCTGGTCCTGTTTCAGCTCCTGACTGACCTCATTTCTAACTGTCACTTATCTCTTTTCAATCTCTAACTCCCCCATCTTTGTTTTTATGAGCTCAACCTGCTTCATCTGTCTGTCTCACCAAAAGAGAGAGAGAAAAAGTAGTAAATTCAAAGCAGCAAGTGTGTTTATTAGTTGTTTACAAACTATGAATATTAATGAATATTAAAATGATTGTGCTGATTATATATATCAGCTTTAAAGTTAATGATGTTCCTTTGGTGTCCTCTAGTGTCTGTTGCTGCTTTGTGCTGCCTGGTGTCAGATTAGTGCTCCTGAATGCTCCTGAATGCTCTAACGGTTTTGTTTTAGGTCCTTACAAATACATAAGGCAGGTAGCTCAGGTGGTAGAGCAGGTCAGCTGCTGATTGGATGGTTAGTGGTTTGATCCCTGGCTCCCCC